GCCTGACTTTGCAAAGCTGAGATCCACCACCCCGGATCTCTCCATCTCCTCACTAAGCAGAGACAAACCAACCGGCACAGGGCTGCACACGCAGAGCCCTTCAGCACATCACTGCAAGAAGCATCTCCACGTGCAGGCTGCAAGGTTTGCTGCAGGGAACATGAGCACTGCACAACTCCACTTCTTGCTCCTCAAGGCACCTCTCTGCCTCTTCTCCACTGGACTTTGAGCCGCCCCTTCCCCTCCAAGCGAGCACTTGCTGCTGGAGCAGGAGTCGCAGGGGACGGGGCAGAAAGGCCTGGCCACAAGCAGGGCGGCAGCGGGATCAGCCTCTCCCCAGGCCACCCCCAGCTCCGGCCCTGTGGAACCCACATCCTCAGGTTGTGATTTCAGCCGGTGTCACGAGCAGTGACTCCAGGCGGCCGCTGAAGGGCTCTGCCACCCGCAGCCACAGGACATGGACGTGAGTCACTGCTCAGGCGGGTGCTCTCCTGCCGGATCAGCTCCTTCATCCACCTCCTCCCACAGCCGCAGGATCGCTCCATCTGACACGAGAGGAGTGGCAGCACCACGCAGCCGGCGAGGACGGACGAGCAGGACCTGCTGCTTCTCCTGCTCCAGCCCTCTCTGCCTGCAGACAGGCACTGACCTCCCTCGAGTCCCTGCGAGCGCTGCAGAGCAGGCTCCGAGCTTGCCACAGCTGAGAGCAACAACGGTTGACTTCGATCCACGGAGGGAGCTGGTGATCAGACCAGGATTATGTGTGCTGAGCTGTTCAGGTTCCTCTCCAAAGACTCATTTTACACTTCTCTGTATACACCAAAGACTGCACTTGCTACACTCTTGGACTCAAAGGTAGGAGCTCCGGCTTCAGCAGAGCATGAGAGACCTCAAGGAAGTAGACCAAAATATAGTGAGCTTAATGGTGACTCCCATCACGCCTGTTTCGGCTTCACTTAACCAGAAATTGTTCTCCACTCTAATTTCCAGGCTATGGGTCAGTTGTTATGGTAAGGTTCACACCTTCCCCCCCAAAATGCCCCAAAGTGCAGGCATTTGGCTAATGTCTGAAATTTTGGGGTTACTTCCAACAGCCTCTGACTGTGCTACTGACCATGACTGTGCCCCCTCAGAATCTTCCTTAGAGCAAATCAATGTGCTGTTGATAGTCAGGTGGGTCCATGGCAAAGCCCACCTTGCACTGAAGCAGACCCAGACAGGGACACACACACACATATACAGCACTTCAATAACCATACACACTCAGATTCAGGGGCATTTCCAACTGGGATTTCAGGATGGGACCCAGACTGGCGTGCTCACTATAGCTGGAATGAGAGACTTCAGCCACCATCAGATACACTGATGGAGTGAGAAGAGGCCTGAGGGCCACCCTCACCAGCAAGCTTGTGATTTGTGGAAAATCATGACCTAAAATTGGGACTTGAATGAGAGCAGCTCCCAGATGTAGTTCTGTGCTGCCCAGAGCCAGGCTGCAGCCTGCCCTCACGTGGCCATGTGGAAGATGCACCTTCTTTTCCAGCAGAAAACGCTCAGTACAAGAAATAAGTGTGAAAAGAGTACATGTTCCAGTAGTACTGACTGGTATCAAATGATGTCCTAACAAATCAGTCACTTTCCTGGACAACATGAGATTGTTGAGACACTGAGCACTCACTGTACCCACTCAGCGTGGACTATCAGTAGCATTTACACAGATTAGCAGCGTATACTCCGTTCCTGGAGTAAGGAAAACCATGCAAGCAAGATGGTTTAAACATCACCTATTTCTAACAAGAAGCTGCTTAAAATGGGCTTTTCCATCAGATGCAGGTGGCTACAACACCAGGGCAGTTGGAAAGCTTTCTGGCTTCACAAGCTCCTAAGAGAGCTGCTTGTTGTAGGTTTCAAAGAGACCCAGTGGCAGCAGCCCGGCTGCTGTTAAAAACACAAAACTGGACTCTCCAGCCTGGTTCCACGTAAGTTAAGCAAGACAGCAAGTAGCTTTGTACAGAATGAAGTCCTGATTACAAAGTAAGATCTGTCAGCTAGATGAGGGGTTTGCTGTGGAAGCACAGCAGAAGTCACAACAAACCCAGGCAAAAGGCTCGTGCCATCAACGCGCCGCTCCTGCAATTCCAGCATTACAACTGGCAGTGCTAAAGCTCAGCAGGCACAGCAAAGCCTGGCAACGGACACAGATGGGAAAGAAACAGATCCAGAGAGGCAGGAAAGAGAATGAGACCCAGGAGCTTAGGGAAGATGCATCAGGAACTGGCAAGAGAAGGCAGGCTGGACAGTGAGCGCCGCTCTGCTTAAGAAGCTGCAGACACGGCTCAGGCACCTGCTGGTGGCATCGCTCGCCTCTGTGCACAAAGGGTTGTGTAGTTCCCTCCACTCTTAGAAGATGGAAGAGAATCTTGGCTTGCAAGAATGGCAACAAAGGTGGCTTCAGTGCAAATAAATTCCTCACCAAAGAATCTGTAGATGAATCCCACTGTTACTTCCTGAAATGACCTTTACATTTGAACATGTCCAAGTGCTGAAGAGGAAAAAGATGTGCAGCTCCATCTGGCTTGAAGAATGCTTTTATTGCTGTATTTTTATAACACCAGTACACAGATGTTAAAATATAACCCGAGTCCAGAAGCATGTGGCTTCAGGTTAGATAGATACGTATGATTTTTATGCTGTGTCTGCTGTAAAGCACCAATTACTTTATGAGCAAATTAAGCTTTGCAGGGACAGAACACTCTCGCTGAGGGATGAGCCCAGGGAATGTATCCTTCTTAAGGAGCTGTTTAGGAACAGCTTCTTCAACAACAAACAGTGGCAAAGCAAATAAGCATCAAACAAGGCAAAACAAAGCAAAAAGCTGGTGACCTCGGCCTTGAAACCGACAGTCAACAGTGATTACAAAGGACCTTGTGGAAGGGGAAGGAGTAGAGCAAATGAGCTGTAGATCATGTTTCAGAGAGATTCACTTGGCTGCCTCAGAATGAGAAGAAAGTGGAGCTTCTGTGGCTCACCCTAATGAAAGTCTAAACATAGACCGTGGACAAAGTTCCAGTTGACCCCATTCACCTTTAAGAAAGGGAAGTGGAGGGTAAAGAGGAGCAAGAACGAGAAACAGGGGAAAAACCCCAAACACAAGCCTCCCAAAAACCAGCAACAACAACAAAACCCCTGAAACCAGCTCCAGACAACTATTACATCCAGATATCAGAGGTATTGTCTCCACCAGGGTAACGAATCTCATGAGCTAGGGCAGGCCCATCAGGTTCCTTCCCAAAATCCACTAGGAAATTTTTATTCACTCGCAATCCACCTCTTTCATTATCCACATCAACCTGCAGCATAACAGAGCCTTCCCTGAAAAAGGGACAAGAGAACAGGTATCAAGAAAAGGTTTCGTATTTGCTGCTCTTCCACATTTGGGCAAGATTTGTCTTTGTTTAATACAAACCAGAAAGAATCTCAGGTACAAAATGGGCCTTAGCAGATCTCAAAGGTGAGTTACTGTGAAACTGCAGCCTCAAATTAGCAATGAATAATTGCAAACGAATAGCTGTTGTTACTCATAAAGCAACAGGCAACTGCACTATGCCCTCCTGTGGCCATCTGGCACATCATCTTCTCCTCTTCTTAGTTCAAAAGAGCAGAAAGCTGTGCTGATACACTCAAAGGCAGTTTGGAAGAGGCTTCCAGGGGGCTACGTCATGTTCACTGGTTTCTTCCCATTCTCATCTACTTCTGAATAGATCCCAATTTCAACAGACTGTGTGTGCAGACCCCAACTTTTGTGTGCCTGTTGAGCAGGGGTGGATTCTGGTGAGTGGGTAAAACATCTAGGTTGGTAGGCTGTGGATAAAGTTAGTAGGTTCAGTCTCCCTGGGTGGGAACTTTGCTCTGTGCACCAGCTGGTACATGCATAGCACTACTTGAGGAAGAAATCTTGAACATGGGCTTGTACAGTCACCCTTGTTTACCAAAGTTCTTACTTGACAAGATCTGGGTAGAACTGCTTGTCCCATCCACTGTAGAGAGAGCTGGTGACGTATAATCTCTTCCCATCCAAACTAAGCTGAAGCATCTGAGGTCCACCTCGCACCCTCTTCCCCTAAAATCATAATAGAGAACAAGGTGCCTAAGACAAGGCTGCCATGGACATTGAACAAAAGAAATGCAACAGCAAGGAGAAACAAAAGAGCACAGCAGTTCTGCTCCTGGTAGAACTATCCAGAGCTCCAAAATCCTCCACACAGCAGCACCAGTGTCCCTACTTTGGAGAGAGAATGGGTTTTATTGGGAGTCTTACTCCTTACTAACAGGGAACCTTGAAGCCATTTCAGAAGAATTCCACTTAATTCACAGAATTAGTAATGTAAGAAAATAAAGGCTGAAGGGTTCAGGTCACTATACTTGGGTGGAAGTGACAAAACTCAAGCAAGAGGCGAGTGGTGTAACACAGCTGCAAATGAGAACATGTCTTTTCTGCAGCTAGGGCACAATCTGCAGGAACAATAGGAAGAAAAGGAGTTTGTGGATCTTCCTAAAACTGCCTTCAGTGGCCAACAGATCCTAGTCGTGTCCATGTTCAGTTCTTGCACATCCTGAGACTTTCCACAGGTAGCTGACATGACAGTAATAATAATAATGCACTTTGATAATGACCAGAGACAATTAATGCTCTTTCATTTTCTATTATGATGCCAGGTGCCACCAAACTCTTTAGACACATACAGACACCCACCCCCAACACTGCAGAATGAGCTGGGTCAGTGCTTCAACCATCACCTGTTGAGGGATTACCAGCAGCAGTGATGGCAATGTGATGAACGCACGCTGCATTAGCTCTAAATTAGCCAGCTAACAACAGCAGGGAAGATGCAATTACACAGGCTTCAGAAGAGTCAAACAGCTTGTCCAATTCCACCAGGGACCCAGAACACTTACCAGAATTCACTAGCTCCAGCCCCTGCTGAGATGTGGTATCTGCCCAGGCTGGAAGCCAAGACACAAACTAGCTCTCTATGTCCTGTGTTTAACTGTGGTGTAGGTGTATGTTAAAATGGATCACAATTAGCAGAGCACTGACAACGTGCATGTGAGGAAAACTTACTTGGATCACAAATGGCTCTGGCTGACACTGCAATTCCTTGTCTTCCACTACAGTTACAGGCCCACCTTTTGTGATGCTGCCTCCCAGAAACACCTGTAACCAAGGGAATGGGTGAGAACAGGAATCTGCTATCAAAAGAACACGAAAGACAATTCTCAAGCAAAAGCAAATTGTCATTTTCTCCTTTTAAACCAGAAGGGAACAAGCAGACTGGGCTGCCCTGCCCTGGTACGTGGCAGCTTTGCTGCTGCTGCCTCACCTGCCCCACCAGCTTGGGCTTGCGGGTGTTGGAGATGTCGTACTGGCGGATGTCCCCGTGCAGCCAGTTGCTGAAATACAGGAACCTGTCGTCCAGCGAGATGAGGATGTCAGTAATAAGACCTTCAAGGAAATATTCAGCAGCAAAGTCAGCAAACGGGCAGGCCCAGCACCAAACAAGACCACAAGTTATTATCTTTCCAAATTCTAGTCACAGCAGCCTCAGGAAAATAAGTTAAGATACGGTTTGAACAAACACGATCATCCTTGGACACCCGGTGCCTACGCAGAGGACGTTCAGGCTCCACAGCATTCCCAGGACCACTCCTGAACTCTGTGAGTTCATGCTAAAGACCCAAATTCCACGTGTTTTTCTAGAGAAACTGACCTCAATATTGAGTGGTGGGGGAGCAGATGGGGCTGATGATCTCCCACTTGATGGCTCATAAGCAAAGCTCATTTGGTGGCACCAGAAGTGTCACACAAAGAACCCAAACAGAAATTCAGTATTTTACAAGGGAAGTGTTTGCCATTTAAGGATGAGATTTTGCAGAAAGCTCCACTGCACCAGGGAACTGAAGAGGGCAACACCACATTTCCTGTCCAACACACTCACCAGGCATGTCAGGGAGAAGCCACCCCTGCACCTTCTTGCTGGGGACTTCAATCACCTTCTCTGCTGCCCAGTCTCCTTTCTGCAGAAAGCTCAGGAGAGAACACAGCATTATCAGTGCCTTCATGTCAGCCAAGAGAGCTCAGCTATGCAGGACAGAGGGAGGAGAAGCAAACAGTGCTGTTTATTTAACCTGTCCTCTACACAGGTGGTATGCACACTGCAAGTGTTAGCAAGGGGTGAGGATGGTAACTATTACCACCAGTGAGAATGTTATGATTGTACCATGCAACAACATCTCAGACAGTGCTGTAACAGAAGCAGAACTAAAGACCCCTCATCTCCTGTAGCTTGGTGTCCCCCCCGTCTCCAGCTCACCCTCTACCCCCCTCTGTCCATCAGCCCACCACTTTCCCTCCCTCCTCCACCTTCCAAACACTGGCTGAGCAGCACATGCTGACACTGGTGACAAGTTTCACAGGTTCTGATTAGTTCTCCAACTGATGCACAGTTGTTGAGCAGCTTGCAGGCCAGAAAGCAAGCTGCTGAGCTAATGCTGCAGCCCTTTCCTCAGTGCAGGTGTTCATCAGCCTGTTTTCAAGTGAGCACTAATGTTCCTCTCATCAGCCAGACTTCCCGTCCTTGAGACTTTCATAGGTCATTAATGGTGATTAAATTGATCAAGAAGTTATTGTGGAGGGTGAGGCTGACAGACCAGCACCATGACCTCTTCAGCTTTGCTGCCTTTCAGGATCAGGCTGCTGAAGATTTACATTCTGGACATAACAGAGGTACTCAGAATGCAACTGCTAAAGATGAGGGACCATCTGGTAGCTTCAGAAAGTCACAGCACTGGCTTCTATGCACACTGTCATGAGGTTTGCTCTCTGGATCATAGAATCATGCAATGGTTTGGGTTGAAGGGACCTTAAAGCTCCTCCAGCTCCAACCCCTGCCACGGGCAGGGACACCTTCCACTAGAGCAGGTTGCTCCAAGCCCCTGTGTCCAACCTGGCCTTGAACACTGCCAGGGATGGGGCAGCCACAGCTCCTCTGGGCACCCTGTGCCAGTGCGTCACTGCTATAGCTTGGCTGGAATTCAGAGCCATAATATTTTTAACCCAAATTCTACTACTTCCTAAGTAACTGGAAGCTTTCTGAAGCACCAGCCTCTGGCTTTGCCATGGATTTCATTGCTTACCTCTGTCTTGTAGAACCGATACACTGCACTACTCAGAGCACATCCCACAAACCCTTCTGCAGCATCTGGATTGTGGAGGAATCGGATCTCCAGAGGTATAGAGCCCTTCCCCAAGTCAATTGCCTGAATGTAGGTGTGAGTGCTCCAGTCCCACACGTTAATGTGGCTGCCATAATGCCCTAATGGAGCAGGTGAGACCAAAAAAAGCACAGAATGTATTATTTTCTCAAATAATCATTTGTACTCTTGAGAGTTTAAACAAATGCCCCCTCACCTTTCTCTATATCAGCTGGGTTAAACCCATCTGCCAAGGCTTTTGGGGTTCCCCATTCAGTGCTCAGCAGGACATTGTGCCGTGGCTGGTACCAGAAGTCATAACTCAGGGCAGGCACCTTCTCCCCATTCTCCCAGTTTCCTTTCACTTCAAAGGTCTCTCCATCCAGCAAAATAAAGCCACCTGATAGAAATTCCAAATACATTTGTTTGAAGACATTCACACAAGTTCTCAGCTTTAAAGAAGATACTTTATCACACTGTAATGATTTTTTTTTAAGCTTCAGTTTGCTCTATGTCTGCTCCTAATAACAATAATAACTCTGCCAGCCCTTCTAGAGTCCATTTCAATTAAGGGATAACTTAGAGAAGATCCTGGAGGAGTCACCTCTGGTTTTCTTTGCTTGCCATCAGTATCCTTGAATTACATAAACAACATGCATCTATTCAAGGACATGTTTGCCCACAATCCAGAAGAGAAAAACCCTGTGACAAGGAGCAGGGTTCCACCACTTAACCACCTGAGCTATATTTTTCCTAATAGTTAGTATTTCTCTTAGATGTGGTTTACATCTGAATAGGTACCAAAATTTATATGCAAGAATCCCTCAAAAGTTTTAAACTTTAAACTAGGGAAATGCAACCTAAAACAGCCTGAAAGGCTTAACTTTCATTAGACAGAGACAAGGATGATTTAGGTTGGCAACAGCATCTCTCATACCCAAGTCACAATACTGAGCTGATGCAGATTAGTTTCCAAAGCAATTCTTCCTTGCTCTGTGCTGAAGGGACCCAAGTGAAATGTTAATGGGTTTCCTGCTCACGCTATAACCACTAGAGTTGGTCTTCTTGAGTAATACACACAAAAGCCTGGGGCATGGAAGCTGAACTCATCAACAGTCCCATAGATACTCCTCCACATCAGGACTGAAGTGCAGAGCAGTGACCATGCAGCTTACCTGGGGAGTGAAGTTCTTATTCCAGAGTTCACCATTCCAGCAGTTGTTTGTTGATGTGCACAAGAGAACTGTAAGCTCTGAAAAATTCCTCTAGCTTTGCAGCCTGTGCTTTGGGAGCATGATACTTACATACCATGAACACTTTCCTAGAGCAATGAAGGGGAATAATACCTTTTCCATTGCCAGAAGGGTCTCCCAAACAGCTGATTAAGATGTCACCACTGCCCAGACAGTGCGAGGTGTGAGGATTAGCTGCATTACCCTTCTGGTGTAACTCCACTGGCTCAACAATCTAAAAGGAGTATACACATAGACACAGTCACCTTCATGGAGCTCACTACAGAACATCAGTTCACCCCTAGGAGTTGAAGTTTCACAAAAGAAGGGGAGAGGGAGAATCTTTGAGGCATGTCAGAGACTCGGTTTGAAACAGAATTCACTGAACAGGAAGAGACCCTGGGGGGGAGTTATCCACTGCATTAATAGTTAAAGGCTGGCAAGGTTCTACAGGACTTGAAAGACTATGAATGGGAGTATTTGCAGGCAGGTGGGGTGGGACAAAGACCACTTAGAAGTTTCCTTACATTCCACATTATCACCTGTACTGAAGTTTCACTGACCAAGTACAGATGCTGACAGTGTATGTATGTACATCTGAGCTAACCCTCTCTGCTGTATTACAGTCAGTGAAAAGAAACAAACACTTGAGACACAATTCCTTTACCCTAAACCAGTTTCTAAACTAGGTTAGACAACTGTGACTCCAGCAATGCCTATGTTTCTTCACTGACTGGAAAGAGAATCTAACCACTTAGACATGGAAAAGTGTAAGTCTATATCCCAACCTCCGTCTACGCCAAATCTGGATCCATAAAACCACTGTCTCTTGGTCAAAATGTAAGAAGTAAAACCCCAGCTTAAAGTCATGTAAATATACCTTATGGATTCTAGGAGCTCGCATGTCTGTCCCCACATCCACCACGTAAATTCGAGAAGAGATCAAGCTTGGTAGAATCAGACGGTTCCTTCTCTTCGTGGCATCCCCAAAGCAGCTGCTACAGGCGTTCCACCCTGAATGATGGAGCTCATCATTCAGATTGGGCATGGGCAGGCGATGGATCACCTGCAAAGTCAGAGACAGGCTTCACATTCAGCCTGACAAGAGCTTTTCCGCTAGGCAGAAAAAAAAATGGGACTTTATGTCAAGGTATAAATTAATAAAGAGCAGAAGGAAACTGCTATTTGTTAGTCAGGAAGCAGATTTAGCCTGAGATATGCACAGTTGAAGCTGTCAAGTAGGAGAAGAAAGGTGGACATCATGCTTGCATAGCATTTGTGAAGTACTGTATGCTATTATGTTAATTCAAATAATTAAAAGACTTTATCTCATTAAGTGCAATAATGGTATGGGAAAAAACAGAACAGAAGCACCAGAGCCATTCTACACGTAGGTACCTGACAATAGTGTGGAGATTTGGGATCAACATCCACAGTGGCCAGGTAGTCAGGCTTCTGTATCCCCGTGTTCCTGTAGATACAAGGCAGATACACAATCTCCTCCCGGGGACCTGTAAAGGCAGAAGTCTTGGAAAAAATGGTTTCTTTTGGCACATTAAACAAAAAGCTGTGGTTAAGTGTAAGGGCATCTTTTCTGGCTTTAGCCTCTGTCTGTAAATTGGGTTTCTTCTCAGAAAGCAGAACCTCAGTATTTCCATTTTATGGAGAAACACCAGTAGTGTATAGTTTGAGCAGCCAGGAACTGCCAAGAGCACGTGCTTGTTCAGCTGTGGGGCCTTTCCCTCCCTCACCCTCCTCACATAAGAGGCTCTGGGGATGCAACTACTTTCCTGGAGAAGGCCAGTGCTGGAGACCAGCTCCCCACGTGCGAGGCTGCGCGGAGCCTCTTCCTTCCCCAGCTACACAAGCGATGACTCCCTGGTGCCAGGGCCGAGTTCACTCTACCCATGCCAAAAGCCTATGCATTACAATCTATAAAACTGAGGCTTTTCAAATCTATCAAAGGACTCAAGGTGAACTTCTGACACTATTGAAATCTACAGCAAAATGCCTTGAGGGCTCTAGTGAGGGTCAGACTTAGCCAGACACTGTTACAGAACAAAACCTAACTTTTGTGCAGCTACAAGTGGATGAGAAGCTTGACACTAAACTATGTTGCACAGAATTCCCAACACTCCTTCCTCCTATTTTCCCCTCCTACCCTAAAGAGTAATTCGTTGTTATGAGAGAGTCTGAAAGCAGCCTGGGTTTAGAAAAGATGTGCTTACCTTTCATGGCATCCAGAGGAGTTGCATATCCTGGGCCACATGCTCCACATTTTGCTGATAGGAGGAAAAGAAGAAGTTCTTTCAATTACCAAATTATTTTAAAGCATCTCTCCAAGAGGACCTTGGCCTTGCATTGAGAGATGGGCAAATCTCAGATCCAGTTTTTACACTGTCAAACACCTGTAAGTCCCACTGACTCCAATCAGGGCTGAGGTTACACAATGTGACACACTGGGAAATTTGGGCCTTCATTTCCAGGAGTTCAGCCTCACAATTTGAAAGCACATTCATACATGACAAGGGGCTGGGATTTAAGAAAATTGTGTTAAATGCTTTACAGAGAGCTGCTGAATCACTGCCAGATGAGTAAGTAGACAGATCTGAACAGCCCATTTTATTATTACTGGAAAGGCTCCAGTCTTTCTCTGCACAGAAATGCCAAAGAAGTGGGTATTTTTGAGGATTTACAGCCTGGGTAAGAAGTGATACTGCAGGTGACCAGAAAGGACAAGGGAAAGGGAATCATCAACCATTCCACCTTCTACTACAAACTCAGCTCCTCACCTTTGCTCTCATGCCACTCTTACCTCTGCTCTGTACCAGTCTGGATCCTAATCAACACCTAAGTAAAAGTTGTATTAAACCAGCCTTCAGTACAGCAGAGATTCCTACTCCAACACAGTCAGCAGCACAGACATGCTCAGGATTGCATCAATAAATTATTGGCTAGAATTAAGGAAATATTACCCTGAAATACTGCTTTAAGGGGCAATTATAACACATTGCAAGTTTATAGGCTTAAGCAATGCACAGAGACCTCCTCTCTTCTCAAGCCAGGAAGCTGCAGGGCTGCTTCCGCTCCATTCCAAACTGGAACTAGGATATAGTCAGTGTTTCAAACACAACAAGTAGCAGAGCTGTGCAGCAGGACACCAGCATATTGTAATGTGACATGAAGTGAAATCCATGCTGACAGAGGCAAAACCAGCCACTGCACATGGAGCCTCATAACCCCACAGACAGCGTCTTCTCAGAAGGAGCAGCTCAGTACTTTAGGTTAGATTTCACCTGCTTTGTGAAGTAGTTTTATCTGCAAACATAAAATAGAAAGTTTGCTTTGTTCAGCTTATGTCTAAGCCATAATTGAAACTTTCTTCCAATCCTCTCAATCACCTCCATTAGCAGGAGCTCAGTTTGCATCCTCCTGTTACACCACACCAAGCTCGTTTGTGAACACAAAATCAGGGGTTTGTCATGGAACTGTGATTGTACCACCTTGTAGCAACATGTTGACAATAACATTTACATTGCTACGTCCATAATCCACGGTTAAACAAGTATCACTTGCTATGTTCTAGATCCCCCCTTGATCTGGCAGCTGAGCCAGTATCCTGGACAGTGGATGGTGCATCACACACACGTGGTTTGTGGACTCCAGCACTGAGACCCTGCCCCTGCAGCACAGGAGATCCTCCCAGGGGTAGTTTCTCACCCCCAAAGTCCACCTTCCTTGTCTTTCTAAAGCAAAGAACATTTCTCTCTTGCCAACAGCTCAGGTGTGAGCCTCCCAGGAAGGACCACACATTTACCTGTAACTGCTGCAGGGTACAACTTTCCTGTTTCCATAAATGAAGTTCCAACAAGCCCCATTCCTCCCAACTCCTGTGCAGTCACATACACACCACGAGCTGCTAAAAACACGTCTGTTCCTTTTGTTCCCATTGTGGGTGCCTGACAGAGCCCAGTTTCACAAAGGAGTTTAGGAGAAAGGTGGCAATAAAGCAGCCACCTCTTTTGAGAACTTAGAGGTGGGTGGAATCAACTTGGGCCAAACTAAGCTGCTTGCAGAGCCTGAGCAAACACGAAGTTCCCCAAAGTCCCAGGGTGTGCCTGAGCTCAGCACTGACACACTGATAAAGGGGGGCAGGCGAACGTGGTGTCTGATGGTGCTGAAAGAACACTCAACTGGGAGGAGCCAGTGCACAGCTATCCTACGGACACAGCAAGACACAGGCCTTACAGAGCAACAGGGCCAAAAGCCACACTTCTTGCTGGAATCCACGTAACAAATCATGCAAGCAGACTTCAAATACTTAACAGATCATTAAAGAGCAGCCCAAGACTTGGTCTTCTGCAGTGCCAAGGGCACTCCAAACCGCATGACTGAGCCACCCCCTGCTGCTGCTGTAAGCTTTAAGGTGCATTATTGAACTGACCCCTCATACACTGCCCAGAGACTCCTTACACACTCCTGCAGCCAGTGCACAGGTACCAACGTGAATCTTTCAGTGTGTTAGAAAGCGAAGCAAAGCAAAACTCCTTTACTGTGTAGTGGAAGTACTTACAAAAGCACAGAAAGATAAACATTCACCCTAGGCAGATAAACCAGACGACACTTCTGCTGAGTCAGACTCACTGTTTGTGTCCCTGCAATAAGGGCTTTTTTCCACTAGGGTCTACAAACTTACCCTGGTTTGTGAAACCCCCCTTGCATGTTACACAATCATACGTTCACATGCAAAAAGGCTTCTAGGTATTTTAGCCCTTCCCTCTCTTTCCTGCTCATGTATCCAGTAACGAAAGTCCATAAAAATGACACGGTCTATCACAAAAATACGAGCAAAAAGTTAAGTTCAGGCTCCTGGTTCCCTGGCACCTTTCCCAAGCATCGTTCATGTTCACAATCAACCAGAGCAGCAAGTCCAAATCTTATTTCAGCTTCTAAACACAGAGGTACTAAAAGAGACATTTAATGAGCACATAAAAGGCATTTACTGAGAGCACTAAAGCTACTTATTTAAAACCACAGGGGCTTTCAATAGCTTAAAGGAGTAAAGCTTTTACCAGGCAGAGGGAACGTGGAACCTCAGCCCCGCAGCTCTCTTGACCAGTTCCTCTGGCCCCTGGTTACAAGCTGCACAGGGCAGAGCTGCAGCCACAGCAGCAGATCCTGACCAGACCCACCACTGGATCCTTACCCATGTTGGAGGGGCCTCTCGGGGCTGTTGGGTGAAGCAGAGCTGCCTCCACTGGAGTTGTGCGCAGTGAAGCTGCTGCCAGAGGGGCACAAGAGCAAGAGGGAAGGGGCGGGCAGGACTGGGGAGAGCAATTGCCAAGGGGAGGATCCAGAGCAGCCGGAGCAGGGACGGAAACTCAGCTTCTACTTCCCGGGAAAGCATGGAGGAACCTGCCACTGCGGCACTTCCCACTGCTCCTCTCACATTCCAGCACTTCATGTGGGTGTTTTGTACCCAAGGAGAGCAAAGGAGGAAACAGTTGTGCTGAAAACCTCTTGCTTTGGGCAGTGTTTCAAGTTCTGGAGTCAAGGCATGCCCGGCCTGAGCACAGCTCTCAATTGTGTCTGCTCTGGCAGGCAGCATGGTTTTACCATTTCATGGCCCTTAAACAAGGCAGCTACAAAAAGACAACTTGCCTGCTGAATACTTCACAGAACTGCTTCTTAAAAGAAGATTCTTTCATGATTGGCAGCTGCCCCGAGTATTGGAAAACCTGGATTTCACTCTATCCCATCTGGAATTCTGCTCAGTTGTCCCCAGTGAGAATTAGTCTATTATTTCCCATTTATTTTTTAAAGCACAGTGCTTTTTCCCAGGCAGTATCACCTCAGTCATTTCCAAGAGCAGACACCACATTTTACAACCCTCTCCCACTTCTCTGCCTTTAACCATGTACAGCAGAAACACTAAATGGTGCTGAAATGCTCCAACTGCTGAGCCTGGTCCCTCCATTGTGCCAAGAGGGTGTCAGGGAGCTCTGCAAACAACCTATAACTGACCATTTATTCAGATTTCTTTAGTGAACTGAGCCTGTTTTTCCTGATCCCAAAGTGGACAAATGCAGTGTGTTACCTCTTTACCTTCAGGCTGTTGGCACAGTGTTTTGTGCAAACAAATTACTGCTCAATTTCTGTCCGTTCTGTGTCCTGTACTCCACAGCTGCAGTTGGGTATTTGAACTGACTGATGGGCATCCAAGTCCCACCTCTCTCATCTCACCTAAGGGACAAGCTGCTTCACACAAAGGCACTGCTTTAAAAAAGGTACTTCTTTTTGTCCACAAGCCTTAGTGTTCGTTGCAGTCCTCGTTTTGATTGAGTCCCATGCCTATCTATCACTCTTTCTGTCTTTTCCTCCTCAGGTACAGCCTTGTCTGTGCAACAGTTCCTTCCCTTCTTAACTTTCCATTTCAAAACACTTCTTTACTACATGTAACCTTGATGCAGTGTTGTTTTAAGCTGCTATTAAAAAATGTGAGTAACGTATGTCATAAACTATGTGAGACTCAGGAGACCCCATGAGATGCCAACTGAAGATCCACCTCAAGGAGTCTGATCTGTGCTCTTGATGAACCCCACTGACGTCAAGAAGACTCTGAGGCTGAACAGGGTATCACAAACATCACTTCTACTACAAGAGCTACGATCTGCATTTTAGGCAGAGCGGGTGGGAATTCCACCATCCTCAGCAATGACCTACTTCTGCTTTCAGCAACAGCACCAGGAGTTTCAGCTCTCGAGGTCAGCAGGAGGGTAGTCAGGAAAGTCCACGCACCCGTTAATGTCCTGTGCAAGGGGTGACACTGCCCGAGAGCAGGGGAAGCACATCTCACCACCAGCACAAACACGTGCAAACTCTTCAGGCATTAATTTACTTCAGTTTAAATGATCTGAGCCAGCAGGGAACGGATCAGTGCCGAGGATGAAACCCATGTTGTGTTAAATCAGCAGTGCTCTTGGCTCTCACCTCATGCCACTGCGGAGGCAGTGGGAGCCACTGCTCACCTCTGGATGTGTCTGTCACAAGCACAGAGGAGCGAAAGGCCAGGATGGGTTTGTGCATCTCCACAGCCTTTCTCCAGTTCCCTTCCAGCTCTCACTCCTGGGCTCCCTGTGCTGCAGCTCAAGCTCCTGCCAGGCTTGTGGCAAGTGCAGGCCTGATCCATGTATCCTGCAGTAGAAACTACCCCATTAAAGCAGCATCAGGTTGCTCCACAAACACACTTCACCAAAGTACAATACTTTTATCAACAC